TGCTTTGGATACCTCCCCTCCCCAAGCCACCCTGAAAGACCTACCAGTGAGATAGGATTCAAACCAGCGAAGTGGAATCCCTGTGATGCCCAGTGATGAGAGGGCAGACAGGAGGATCTGGTGATTGACAGTGTCAAAAGCAGCAGATAGATCCAGCAGAATAAGAACTGATGATTTGGAATAAACTTTTGCCATTCGCAAGGCTTCCGTTGTTATTATTAAACAATTGTATTAAATTAAAAAAAAATTGATAAAATAAACTTTTTCTTGTTGTTTTATCATGATTTTTTTTACTATGATATATGGCATGAAATTAAGACTGCAGCAATCGTAATGAACTACTTATTTTTTTCATTATTTTTTGCAGTGAAGGTCTGATGTGGCCTCAGTCTTCTCAGCACAGACTGGCCACAATGTCTCTGAGATGCTGTCAGAAGATGTTACTGAGACTCTATGGTGGCTCTCTGTCCACCGTGAAGAGCTGTATGTGTTTGAGACGCTACACTAGAGCAGCTCAGAGTCACAGGAGGGTGGTGATCACCGGCATCGGGCTCGTTTCTCCCCTCGGGACAGGAAGTGCTCTGCCTTGGCAGCGTCTGATTGGTGGAGAAAGCGGTTTGGTTGCTCTGGACCCAGAAGAGTATAAGACCATCCCCTGTAAGGTGGCGGCCTGTGTGCCGCGAGGAGATAAACATGGAGATTTCAACGAAGAGGCGTTTGCGTCCAAAGGAGAGATCAACGGCATGTCTCCAGCCACGGTTATGGCCGTCGGTGCCGCTCAATTGGCTCTTGAGGATTGCGGATGGTTTCCCAGAAGCCCTGAGGAGCAGCTGAGCACCGGTGTGGCGGTCGGGATGGGCATGGTGTCTCTGGAGGAAATCGCTCAGACGGCCTCTGCCTTTCAAACGCGCGGCTACAGCAAAGTCAGTCCGTTTTTCGTCCCTCGCATCCTGGTCAACATGGCCGCAGGACACATAAGCATCAAACACAAACTCAAGGGTCCCAATCACGCCGTGTCCACCGCATGCACCACGGGAGCTCACGCTGTCGGCGATGCCGCCCGTTTCATCGTTCACGGTGACGCCGAGGTGATGCTCGCCGGCGGGACGGAGGCCTGCGTCAGTCCGCTGGCCATCGCCGGGTTCGCTCGCGCTCGGGCCCTCAGCACCAACTGGAACCAGGAGCCCAGACTCGCCTCGCGCCCGTTTCATCCAGACAGAGAGGGGTTTGTGATGGGAGAAGGGGCGGCCGTGCTCGTTTTAGAGGAGTACAGACATGCAGAGAAGAGGGGTGCGCGGGTGTACGCAGAGGTGCTGGGATATGGGCTCTCTGGAGATGCCAGCCACATCACGGCTCCAACCGCAGATGGAGACGGAGCCTTTCGGTAAAACCATTTTACCCAATAGCATAGAAAATAAACACGACACAATTTTGATTGCAACGTAACACAGCACAAATGATTTACAACCTTATTTGAAGACAGATAGGGTTATTATCTAAAACTAGAACCATAAAAATACATTTTCATTTCTTGAAATAAAACAAATGGTAACCGAAATCAAATATAATCAACTTATTTTATTTTATTAGCCTAAGTTGAAATACTAAAACAACTAAGACCTAAATAATAAACTAAAACTAATAAAGAAAATTAATACTATAGAGTGTGTATGTATGTATGTATGTATGTATGTAGTCATAGATTTAGACCAAAAAAAAAAACCTAATAAAATGACAAAATTACTCAAATTAAAGCAAACACAGTAAATGCTAACATAAAATCTAATTCAATATTTTAAGAAAAAATATAATTAGGTATCAATGATACTAAACTTAAACTGATGATAGACAATAAAGAACATGGAAAAAATATTAAACCGAAAAGAAAAAAAGCACATAGTTCAAAGAGTACTTTTTATATTTGTTGGGGGGGAAAGTAATGTGCAAAGTTGATTGATCATAAATGAACATTTTTAAATTAGTATACAAATAAACACTTTTTTCGTAACCTAGACTTTTTTTATTGCAACATAACAGAAATCATATATAACATTGTTTGGTAACAGGCATTACAGAACATTATATATTAATCTGAAAAGAAAAAAACAGAAACATGGATAGTACAAATATAAGACACAGTTCAAAGAGGTTACACATACTTTTGCTATTGTTAAAAAAAGTACTGCGCATTGATTAATCAAAAATAAAATATTTTCACATTTGTTATTACATTTAATTTTATTTTAATGCATACTTAATTTTAGGGTTTTATTAAATATGTAGGCAGTTGACATTTCAAACGTGATGACATTTGTATGCGTAGATATTGTTTTTTCATATGCTTAGACCCGACTCGATGCATGCTTTGCAGGATTTCCCTTTCTGTCAAACATATTTTATTGAACCGTCTCACTTTTAATGCATGTAGAAAACTCTTTTATGAAGTGAACTCACTTAAAGAGTTTAGTATAATTTTGGCAGAAAAAGTTTTAGAATTTTTATCATGTGTTAATGTAAAAAATCTTGTGTAATATAACTGGTTTTTATTGTATTTGTTATACTTGTATTTTTTTTGCCATGTAGATAACCTAAGAGATGCTGACATGGCATTAAATAAAAATATACTACTGATACAATTTCATATGCTTAGATATAATTGCAGGGATCATCCAGTAGTGAATTATGCAGCTTCTCCTGCTGTGTTTCAGGTGCATGGCTGCTGCTCTCCGTGATGCTGGAGTGTCTCCTTCAGACGTGACGTATGTCAATGCCCACGCCACCTCCACGCCACTCGGAGATGCCGCGGAGAACGCCGCCATTAAGAGACTGTTTGAGCAGCATGCGTACTCACTGGCCGTGTCCTCCACTAAAGGAGCGAGCGGCCATCTGCTGGGAGCCGCCGGAGCGCTGGAGGCCGCCTTCACTGCCCTCGCCTGTCACCACAGCATCCTGCCGCCCACCCTCAACCTGGACCGCACCGAGCCAGAGTTTGACCTGAACTATGTGCCCTGCACAGCGCAGACCTGGAGCTCCAGCGGACGCAGAGTCGCTCTCACCAACTCATTCGGCTTCGGGGGAACAAACGCTTCTCTGTGTCTCGCGAGCGTGTGATCACTGTAATGCAGATGGATGATTTCGGTTCAAATCCACTGGTATTTCATTATGTAACTTTAAAGTCGACATGAAGTGGAAGTTGCAATAGTCTTTTCTTCCCTATTGTGATGTTTATTGTATTGGAGTGAAACAAGAGTGAATGTAGGACGGGATTTGGTCCATGGGGAATTGATTGGATGGTTGTGATTTGCTATTGGTGGATTGCATGGGAGTGACAGGTTGATGCCACCCTTGCAACAGTTAACAGAAGAGATGTCATTGAAGAGGGAGGGGAAGGTATTATGATTAAAGATTATAAGGACAAATTAAAAAAAAAATTATATAAAATGTAATACATTATGTTTGGCTGTCAGGTTTACTTTGCTATGCCCTTACATGTATATCTTCTCAACCATGAAAAAACATAATTATATGATATATTATATGTGGATTAATGCACTTCAAATATCTGATAAATTTAATTTACATGTGATTTTGCTAAATAATTGTTCAAGGACTTGTAATGCAAACGCTCACAGGGCAAAAGCCTATTATTAAAACATATAATAATTTTTTATCAGCAGTTAAAGTTTGTGTTTTAATCTCAATAAAAAGGAAGTCTATTTTTTAAGACCAAAAAGATTTTTGCATTGTGACCCGATTGGTATCCTTTGTAATGTGAGCATTTAATTGTAATATATTGTAAATATATATTTCTAATTAAAGATTATGCAGTATGGTAATGAGAATTTAGTGGTAATGTCATGGAAACAGAATTCCAAGTCTTCATTTTAATTGTCTTTATGCATAAATAAGTTTTTTCCCTTTTAATTATGCATAATCATATAGGATTATACAGTTTTGCTCAGATGTTTATGTATGGTTTATCATTAATCATAAAAGTAACAAAAGTATTTAGATCATAAATATTGATTTAGTTTTTTTATTAAGTACAACCTTGATCAAGCCAATTGCCATAAAATATTAACATGTTAAATTATTTAATTTATACAAATGCATCCATAGGCATAATCTTTTGTTGTAGTTATTATTTTATGTCATTTTAAAAATATATATACATCATCTTAGAGATTTTGCCAGGGCTATGTAAGAATGTATGTTATACTGAATATGCATTATCTTATATCCAATATCTTCTATTTATTTTAGTATATGTAAATGAATAATGTTTACTCTTGCTCTGTGTTACCTGGACCGAAAAATTCATGTTTATTTGTCAGCAAAAGTCCTGACAAATAAACATTTGTACTGATGTGTGATACCACAATGCAACACAAAGCGGGTTGAAAATCAGATAAGTTACACTTTAAATCAGCATTTAGAAGAAACTAGGTTATTTGTGCAAAACAAATGATTATTATTTTGGCTTGCACTGTTGAACTACATAACGGAAACAAATGTTTATAATAATATAAACATCACATATTACTAATTGCTCTGCAGTAACAGTGGGACACGGGGCTGATGAGTCCTCTGCACAATCTAACTTTGCTGCAGCATGCACTGCTAATTTGTCTGGCCAGAGGAGAACTGGCCCCCCGACTGAGCCTGGTTTCTCCCAAGGTTTTTTTCTCCATTCTGTCACCGTCGGTTCCTTGCCGCTGTCGCCTCTGGCTTGCTTAGTTGGGGACACTTCATTTCCAGCGATATCGTCGACTTGATTGCACAGATACTACTTAAACTGAACTGAGCTGAATGATGACATCACTAAATTCAATGATGAACTGCCTTTAACTGAAAATTGAGTGTTTACTATTGTCCTTTTGCATTATTGACGCACTATTTTCCTATTTGATACAGTAAAGCTGCTTTGACACAATCTGTATTGTTAAAAGCTCTATATAAATAAAGGTGATGACTTGACTAGATATAAAATCTTTCAGTATGGAGAAGCTTAATGGTTGTTGTACAAATTAACTTTGGTATAGACGGCTTAAAGCCAATAGTATGTTTGAAAGCAACATACAATAAATTAAATATCATTCTGCCATTATGTGTGTATGTTAACTTAATTCAGTAAGCAAATATATCATTATTGTAAAAATTTACTGTGCCATGGAAATAGGCTGTTGTGACTTTTGGCACATACTGTAGAAAGTTAATAATGACCATTTTTGTTTTGTAACACAAAACAAAGTCAACAAATCCATTCGTAGAAATGAGTGTCTTTATTCAGATGGTATAATTATGTTAAGATAAACCATGTAGCTGCACAATTTTTGCATCCAGTTTCACTTTGACATTTAATTCCAAAATATGAAAGAAAAGGAAACTTGTTTTTTTACCTTTAAAGGGATAGTTCACCCAAAAATGATAATTCTGTCATTAATTACTCACCCTCATGTCGTTCCAAAACCGTAAGACCTTCATTCATTTTCAGAACACAATTTATGAAGCTATTTTTAATGAAATCCAAGAGCTTTCAAACCCTCCATAGACAGCAATGTAACCGAAATGTTCCCAGGCCCAGAAACATAGTAAGGACGATTGTTAAAATAGTCCATATGACATCAGTGGTTCATCCGTAATTGTATAAAGCTACGAGTATATTTTTGTGTGCAAAGAAAACAAAAATAACAACGTTATTCAACAATTTCTTCTACTCCATGTCACTGTCCGCCGACCCTTTAAACTATGTAATTATAACAAATTTAAAAAACTGCCAAATTCTGAGAAAAAAAATGTAATATTAAGGACGTGTCCACCAAAGGACCGAGGATAGTTTTTAAATTGTTTTCAAAGGGACCGCCACATATTTGAAAATGGCTGCAGCATGGCCAGGCAATGAGGTGTTTTTTTTTTTCTGGCTGAAAGTTGAAAACATTGTGTAAAAACTCAACACACATCACTGTCACTTTTTACCCAGCCATCCAATCACAGTGGAGGAGGGGTGGGAGAAATATCACCGATCGTCACATACTTGAACAACGGCTGAACAACAGTGGAGAAGTAAATATTGCTGTTCTCTAGGCATCCATGTCTGTACCAGATGACATCTCATTATTGCTATGAAAAATAATGCTCGGAAGAACATTTCACTCTAGCTAAATGCTGCATCTCCTAAGCATTTAAGCGCCCACAACTGGCCGTTTTCAGCTTGCTAAAAATGCTTTGATACACAGCCTGAGAGTGTAAATTCATTGATTGGAATTGACAGGTGTGATGATCAGAGGGGCTGAGTTTCTACCATTAAAGCTCAAGGATGTACCAAAATATGGATAGAGTTTGCCAGTGAAAGACTGACCAGTAAAAGAGTAGATATGGGAGCTGGACTCCACATCATAAAAGGAGACCAGTCCCTTCTCATAATCCACAAACACGCCGATGCGCTGCGGCCTCACTCTTAGAGACAGAGGGACAGAGGGACTAGAGAGAGCTTCGTACTGATTCTTATTTCTCAGCCACACAGTCCAGTATCCATCCTCAGGACTCAGTGTGATCTTTCCCTTCCTTTTAATGGATTCTCTGGCCACTCCTAAATCCCATGCAGTCTTTCCCTTCACCTGCACCTCAAAATAAAACTTCCCTGAGGAGAATCCCTCCTCTGCCAAGACATTTGGACAGTAAGTAAATATCTTTGGGCTATATGGGAGCTTTTGTTTAATGTCTCCACATCTCACTTGTTTTCCATCATAAGACAGGATGAGATCAGGATGAGCTGTATCAGGATCCAGAGTCACATCCACTGAGAAAACAAAGAATATGAATCACAACTTTACTGTAGACAGATTTTGAGTTTATGATTAGGATTATGACAGGTTAAAGTGCCCCTATTATGCCTTTTCAGATATTACCTTTCATGTAGTGTTTAAAGGGGTCATATGACGTTGCTAAAAAGAACATTATTTTGTGTATTTGGTGTAATGAAATGTGTTTATGCAGTTTAAGGTTAAATTGTGAATGTAAAAGGTCTGCAAAGTTTCAAAGATCAAAGTGCACAATAAATAGAGTTATTGTCTATCGAAAGAAAGAACCAAAGCCAAAACTGCCAAAACAAGTCATCAGTAAATAAAGTCTTACTTTCTGCACAAATCTACGTAAGTTTGTAACAAATCTGCATACACTGTTGAGCTGGTCAAGTGCTGGTCATGTGCTGGTCCTAAGCTGGTCCTGAGCAGGAGCTAGTTGCTTAGGACCAGCACTTGACCAGCTTAAACCACCTCATGACCAGCTTAAACCACCTCATGACCAGCTTAAACCAGTTCAAACCAGCAGCCATGCTTCAAAACATACCTAACCAGCATATGCTGTTTTTTTCAACAGGGTAATGCCAGCATGTGGTCTTCATTGGCTGCCCATGAACAACATCTACTTTGACCCTCAAATACATGTCGACACTGTTTTCTGGGTGTGAAAGCAAATCTACTTTGCATGCACTTCCAAAGGATGAGGATTCGAATAGATAAAACCACCATCATCATTACTGGTTGTATCACTGTGTTTATGCGTGCTGAGGAAGCACCAGAAGCTGAAATTCAGTCATGGTAATTGGCGTTTTGTTTCTGACACGTGCTGTAAGCACTAGACTAGACCAATCACAACAGACTGGGTCATCTGACTAATCAGAGCAGAATAGGCTCAAGGAAATTAAGAGACACCGGATGGTTGAACAAACTATTTCAGACACTGTGAGAAAAGCACTGATGCTGCAATGTATATTATGAGAAAATTAAAAAAGTGTTTTTTGGCCTTGGTTGGATGTAGACCTATTGTAGGGGACTTCCAAAACAAAATTAGGAACCTTTAAAATAGCACAATAAGGGCATTTTAATATTTGATTCAGTTTTGAATCAGACTGTAGTACAAAAATAAAGCTGTCCCTTACGAAAAAGAAGTTTATTCAAGTGTGCTATTAGTATACTTCTTTTAAACTAAAAATAGGAAAGTATACTTTTAGTCTACTTTTTATGTACTTCTCAGAAATGGGCTTTATGTACTTCTCAGAAATATACTTAAAATGACATTTAAGCATACTTGACTTATACTTAGAAAAAGTCAAAATATATTTTAGCTATACTTGTGTTCCTAGAATCCGTGTTTTCATTGTTATACTCTAGGGGGAGCTAGTACACATCTTCTGTACAGAATTTCCAAAAAACACAAGTGAAGAAGAAACCGAAACAACAGATGCTTCCACATGTATTCTAACACGATCATCAGACATAAAACAGCATCAAAACTGTGTAACATTATGGAATAAAACAATGAAGAGGTAATAATAACTGTCAAGCTTTGGGGTGTTGATCGACTTTATCTACGTTTTGATTATCATTCTGAATCCAATTCATAGTCTTTTTTCAGCTTTTTGTTCAAAATGTTGTTTATTTCTTAATTTTTTATTATGTAAACTAGTTGTGTACTCAAAGTTTACTGCTGTTATACTTAAAGCAAACTTAAAAGTATACTTTTATATACTACAAAGTGGGCCAATTTAGTCCCAAGGAGTATTGAAATAGTACACTTACAAGTATACTACTAGTACACTGATATTTGTATACTTACTACATAAAGTATACTTAAAAATATACTTGAACTTTACTTAAGTATACTTACTAAAATAAACTTGAAGTATACTACTTTTTGGTAAGGGGTATTGAAATGTACAAATAAAATAAAGCTGTATGAATGTAAAATGAGTGTAGAGCAGACATCACTGTACCTGCATACTGCTGCATCCACTTCAGCTCTGTAGAGACTAATGACATTAAAACATCATGAGATCTTTGAAATGTTTATGTATGAACATAAAGACATGTTTAAAGAACTGTCTACAAAACTTTTTATTTGATCAATCTCTAACAAAAACAAACAAATTACAATTAAAAAAAACAATTAAAGCACAACCCAGGCCAGCTGCTGTTTGAGATGCAGGCCTGAAATTTCACACACACACACACACACAGGTTTGTTTTTATGGTTTATGGGGACTCTCCATAGGCGTAATGGTTTTTATACTGTACAAACCGTATTTTCTATTGCCCTACACCAACCCTACCCCTAAACCTACCCCTCACAGGAAACTTTCTGCATTTTTAGATTTTCAAAAAAACTCATTCTGAATTATTTATAAGCCTTTTGAATTACGGGGACACTGAAAATGTCCTCATACATCACCTTCTCGTTGTAATACATATGTCATACCCATGTTATTATACAAATTTGTGTCCTCATAAACCACATAAACATGCGCACACACACACACATCCTTCCTCTCACAAAGAACAAATTTGCTTGATGTCCATCAGTTTGATTGTCTGGTAAAATATTTAAAATTCTGAATTGCTAAAATGGATCTGCACACAATTGTTCATAGATACTCATAAAACAAAATATTAATGAAATAGGTGTCCTCATAAACCACATAAACATGCACACACACACACACATCCTTCCTCTCACAAAGAACAAATTTGCTTGATGTCCATCAGTTTGATTGTCTGGTAAAATATTTAAAATTCTGAATTGCTAAAATGGATCTGCACACAATTGTTCATAGATACTCATAAAACAAAATATTAATGAAATAGTTGAAAGGTAAAACAATCACAGACTGAATATAAATTAATGTTTCTCTTTGTAGTTTCTCCTCCATGCATGGTTTCTGAAATAAATAGGTATTAACAATTGCTGATAATGAGCCACAAACACGTTCACATACTTGTATTTCAGCTCGAACCTGATTCATTCTATATTAATGATGACATTAAATTATGATAAATATATGTACCGGTCTGTGTGAGTTTCTCATCTATAGTGTCCTGCAGTTGAGTCAGAGCTCTCCTCAGAATCTCCAGACTCTCATGAGTCTCCACACTGATCTCAGGCCAGTTCCTGGTGTTTCTAGGGCTGTACAGGGACGAGTAAATCTACAGCAGGAGAGAGGAGAAACCCTTCAGCACGGGGAGTGTCATACTGCATTATTATTGATCAGAGAGATGTTGACTGACCTGTAGGAGGTGGAGGTGATCTTCAGTGTGTGAGAGCTGCTCCAGCTCAGTGCTTTTCAACGTTAGCTCACTGATCTCCTGCTCCAGCTTTTCAATGAGCTCTTCCTCCTGTTTCCCTGCTGCTTTCTGCTGCTCATCCACCGTCTCCAGCAGTTCAGTCTGACATCTCTCCATGGAGCGGATGAGATCAGTGAAGAACTCAACACGAGCTGCTTTCTCCATCTCTGTGCTTCTCTGGTGAACCAGGTCAATTAACAAATTATTAGTGGTGTTTGCTAAGGCAAGAATTAGTGTTACTATTGCTCATACGTCAGTTTTAGGGGAAGTTAAAATGTGCTCAAAGAAAGTATTAAACTTTGTCTTGCACTGAATGATTCCTCAAATCATGCAAGATTTTGGATCGCCATCACTGGGGAACACATTCACGATTAACTATTAACACTAGTAAACTCCAAATTACTGCTTATTGATAGGAACCAGTTGTTAGGTATTGGGTAAGGTAAAAAAATCTAGAATATGGTAAGGCAGAAAGAGTGACTGTAAAATCCCCAGACTAGCAGAATGATACAAAAAGTGAAAACAAGTACCGGTACTGTTGGACTGTATATCAGGACTCTTGGAGAACTGGAACTATCGTAGTCAACATTTGAATTGGATCAAAAAAGTTAATCATCAACGCATTTTGCTTTTAGGACAACTTTGATGAAAGGTTTTGATCCACTTCAAATGTTGACTAGTGTATATTAAATTGAATTCAATTATTTTCAGCTCACTTTTCTGGCTTCTGCTGAGTGTTTGATGTCTTGAATCTTCTTGATTCTGTTCTGGATCATCTGCTGTACTTCATTTTGAATCTTCATCTATAGACATAGACCAACACAGACACATTTATAACAGACATTTAAGGTGATGATACACGGGGCAACTTTTTTGAGCAATGTTGCTTGGGCATTGTTGCCGTCAACAGCAACAAATTTCTGTCTGGATACTTTAGAACGGTTGTGGGCCTTGTGTCTCACCTGGTTGCCCGTCGACGGCAACACTGCCCAGCAGCATGGCTCAAAAAGTTGCCCTATGTATCATCACCTTTACTGTTTTCTGAGGAAACTTATGTTCACAAAATGTTTTACAAGATTAAATAAAAATCTGATTCCTCACGATATGAACCATTTAAAAGCAGTTTTGTTCAAATCTTCTACCTTCTGCTCTTCACTCTCCTTTTCTAGAGGAACAGTGTTGTGGTTCTTGTGGTCTGTCAGAGCACACATGGGACACACACATGTCCGATCATCTCTACAGAACAGCTCCAGAGGCCTCTCGTGTTTCTGACATATATAGTCCTCCAGATTACTCACAGGATTCATCAGTTTGTGTTTCTTTAAACCTGCCACTTTCAAATGAGGCTCCAGGTGAGTTTCACAGTAAGAGCTCTGACACAACAGACACGACTTTAAGGCTTCCAGCTTTCTTTCCTCACAGAAGTCACACAGAACTTCATTTGTTTCCTCAGGACTTTTCTTTTTATAGTGATCAGCAACCTCTCGGAGTGTGGTATTGATCTTGAGATCAGGTCTTTGGTTGAATGTTTCTTTACAGTATGGACAGTTGCAGGTCTGACTGTTGTCCCAGTACTTATTCAGACAGGTCTTGCAGAAGTTGTGTCCACATGGAGCGGTGACCGGATCACTGAACGCATCCAGACATATAGAGCACTGAAGCTCCTCAGTCAGTGGACCACTGGAGGATGACATTGCTGGAAACATAAATGATGAACATTAATGATTTATATTCCTGAACAGTTGAAGCTAAATACTTCACATACACCTCCCAAGTGAGGAAAGTTTATTTCAGTAAAATCTTACAGTACCTCAAAAGTCTGATTTTTACAATTTGAGGCAAATATGGTTGGCAATAATGGGATAGTTTACACTAAAACGAAAATTCTGTCATCTTATACTTACCCTCATGTCATTACAAACCCATAAGACTTTAGTTCATCTTCAAAACATATTACATACACATTTCTAATGAAATCTGAGAGATTTCTGCCCCTCCATTGAAAGATGATTCATAATGTTCGTAAAGAGATCCAAAAATAAATCAATATGAATTAAGTGGTTTAATTCAATTCTTATGAAGAGACAATTGATTTATATGATGAACAGATGTAATTTAGGCATTTATTCACTTTTTTTTTAATCTGTTTATGAATGTTTTAAAGCGTCAGAGTTTTGGGTGAATAGACTTTCAATGGAATTAAAAAAAACTTATTTTATGTTCTGAAGAACTAGTTTTGTACAGGTTTAGAATGACATGAGGGTGAGTAATTTATAACAGAATTTTCATTTTTGATTGAACTAACCCCAGCTTTAATATTCATTGCATTATCTCACATCAGCAAATTTCAATTAGCTCAGTATCATTCATTACAAACAAATAATTAATTAATGTCTTGCATATCGCTCTACACTGAACTTACAGATTTTCACTTTTTCCAACATAAAATCACATCATGACTCTTTAATCAATATTCATAACACTGTACAGGAATATTCATATCATGTACACACTGATATGGACAAAAAACTATGTCTATTTATTTTTAAAAATCTCACACAAAAATTCTATTTTTCCCAAAATAAAAAAGTAAGTCAAGTGTAATTTCATCTTGTTTTATGTAAATGTGATTTTCAGCTACAGTGTAGCAGGTTTGTATTCTGTCTGTCTGCAGGACTTCTTTAGACTTTATGTCGTGTGACAAAATGACAGAAACACCAAACTATACAACCAATCAAATGACATGCTTTAAATACAAATCTGTTACCATTTCAGTGCAGTAAACTAAAGAAGGTGAGTATTTGATATGCTGAAACTGGGTTCTGTTCAGATTGTTCCAGTCTGACATAAACACCAGACCACTTCCATTAGAAACCTGTTCGAGACAATCTCTCTTATATTTCTATCACTTAGCCTACCTGTGAGTTTCAGATGTGTCCACAAGAGTTTGAATGGCTCAAAAAAGATTTCGTTTAACTTTCAGGCATCCATATTGTTGTTAGTTTCGTTTTCTCTGAGTCTCTCACTGAGCTACAGTGATGTCAGAGCTCCTCCTGTTTTTATCCCTGTATTTGGTGCGTTGTGTTCATGTGTGTCTGGTCTGGGACTGATGTTTCTAGGTCATGAAGAACAGATATCAGCAGACTTACAAAGCTGTTTATCAACTCAAAACTGCTTGTTCAACTTCCACATCATCTAGTCACCTCGCAGTGTTGGGGAAAGTTACTTTTAAAAGTAATGCATTACAATAATGCGTTACTCCATAAAAAAGTAACTAATTACGTTACTTAGTTACTTTTTATGGGAAGTAATGCATTACGTTACTTTTGCGTTACTTTTAAAATCTGGACAGGGCTTGCTTGTTTGTTTTTAAAATAAAAAAGTTATATTTTTGGCAAATATAAAAGCCTTTTCACACCAGAAGTGAAATGAATTTTTTTTTTTTTGTGTGAGTGAGATGAATTTATGTATATTCTTCTGATTTCTCTCAACAATTTATTGATTATTCCAATCAATAAATTGGAGAAAAAAAAGTAACTTGCGTTACTTATTTGAAAAAGTAACTCAGATATTCTCTTGTAAATTAAAGAGTAATGCGTTACTTTACTAGTTACTTGAAAAAAGTAATCTGATTACGCAATTCGCGTTACTTGTAATGCGCTACCCCCAACACTAGTCACCTGTGCACATCATGAAAGCATTTTTTAATTCTTTAATGCAATTATGTACAATTGTCTGCTGTTATCAATTGCTAATGTCATGTCGCTCAAAATGGTTCTTTGTTTAATCTAGGAATTAGTTCATAAATCAATGCAATGGAATTTAATGCAAAATGGTTGAACTAGTTGTCACGGTGCATCAAGTGCACCAATATTTTCTATACATTTCTATGACTTATTTGTAAATGTGTCCTAAAAATGTACGCACGAGAATAAAGAACAGATGTCGTATTCACTGCATAAGCTCACTGGGATCATAGATATCTACGTTATTATAGCAACAGCCGTGTCAACATTAAAGGGTCCGACGTGACAACCAGACCACGTCTCCTAGCAACTCCCAAATAAACTCGGAAAAAGCTCGTCGGTGTCGGTGTTGAGGATTAATCAGACCAGACGCGACATTTAACGCGTTTTAAGCGCTTTCGTTTTATATACGACGATTATTTGATGCATACGTTTGTTTGTTATTTGTGAAGCGGAACCCGAGATCTGGAGTCCAGAGATCCAGCCGGACGCGTTCAGAGCAGAATAAACTGTAAACAGTGTGTAGTCATTAGAAATAAAACCGCAGGATTATGTTCAAAAACACATTTCAGAGCGGCTTTCTGTCCATCCTCTACAGCATCGGCAGCAAACCCCTGCAGATATGGGACAAAAAGGTGAGCAGATGCTGGAAATGATGCTAGATTGACTGATGGAGCTCAGATGCTGCTAATGCACTATTTTACATTTAATCTGCATTAGGTGTGAAAACGTATAGCGTCGGTAGCATTATACACATTCTGATCTATAATAGAGACATTATAATACAGATCAGTGGTTTTGGGCATCACCATAATACTGATACTGTTATGGCATTCTTTCAAGTACCTAAGCAGTATATGCTTTAGTGTTTATTAATAGTTTTAATTAGTTATTATTATTTCTCATCTATTTTATTACTTATTATATTTTCTGTTTGCATTTTAATTTTAGTTGTTTTAGTACATCAACTTAAAATGAAAACGATAACTGTTTCCTTAGCAACTAGCTGAAATAAATAAATTTAGTTTGTAATATATATATATATATATTAGTGCTGTCAAACAATTTAATCGCATCCAAAATAAAGGTTTTTGCTCGCATAATATATGTGTGTGTACTGTGTTTATTTATTATGTATATATAAATATACACACATACAGTATATACAGGTGCATCAATATGTTGTTTATATATTAAATATATTTATATATGATATCATTTATATCACACACACACACACACACACACACACACACACACACACACACACACACACATTCTGTAATTAACCTGAAGGATAAAACCTAAAGGATAGAGAGGTTGATGTAGACATGAAATATGTATGAACTCACTAAACAAGCATGCTGTTGCAGGTCAGAAACGGACACATAAAGCGCATCACAGACAATGACATCCAGTCTTTGGTTCTGGAGGTGGAGGGGACGAATGTGAGGTGAGTGTGTCCCCGACCCGTCCATCAGTCTGACACTGAACACACACACATCATGATCAGACCTGACCCGTGTGTGTGTGTGTGTCTGATCTCCACAGCACCACCTACATCACGTGTCCCGCCGACCCCAAGAAAACCCTCGGCATCAAACTGCCCTTCCTCGTCATGATCATCAAGAACCTCAAGAAGTATTTCACGTTCGAAGTTCAGGTAGAGAACTGGTTTCTTCCGACAATTCAGAGTTGATTAGCGATGTCAGAAATGTGTGAATGTGTGATGCGCTTCAGGTACTGGACGATAAGAACGTGCGGCGGAGGTTCAGGGCGAGTAACTATCAGAGCACGACCCGCGTGAAGCCCTTCATCTGCACGATGCCCATGCGGCTGGACGACGGCTGGAATCAGATCCAGTTTAACCTGTCAGATTTCACACGCCGGGCGTACGGCACCAACTACATCGAGACGCTGAGAGTGCAGGTGAGAGACTGATCCAACCCATTTCACCGGGTTATTTTTAGGTTATATTTAGGTTATTAGGTTTTTTAACTATTTCTAGAACACGTCTTAAGACAAGAGGTGACGTGCTTTTTGTGTTGTGGCTCCAAGGCTCCGGAACTCACTTCCTTTAACATCGAGAGCTATGGGTTCTGTAGAATCTTTTAAAAAACACTTAAAGACATCTTTTTGGACAAGCTTTTAATTAGCGATATGGTTTTGCTGGTATTGAATTTTGTGGTATTTGTACAGCTGGTATTTAATTTGTTTTGATTTGATTTTTTTTTACTGTAAAGCACTTTGTGACTCCTCCTTGTCTGTGAAAGGTGCTTTATAAATACATTTTATTACTTACTAATTTTACCCCAAAATCAAGAGGAAAAATATAAGAAAATCTATTTTACATAAAGAGTCCTATTTTGGTACTAACACAGTTATTTGAACCATTATATTTTCATGACAGTTAAGCCTAGATGTGCTCAATTGCTAGATTTAATGGCTGATTTATTGTTTATGACACTGGTAATTCAGGGTTGTTATAGTTAAGCAAAAAAATAAACTAAAAACCATAAAAACATGTTTGTTACTGAAACATTTACGTTAGCTACAATAAAATGTATAAAAACTTTTTTTCAGATAGTTTCCAAAGCAACTTATAACTAGAACTTAAACAAAAAATTATTAATTATTCTTTTTATTAATTAATAAAATAAAAATAATATTATTAATTAATCAAATAAAAAAATATATAAACATTAAAAAAACATCAAAATTACTAAGATTTTAACTCAAATGAAAATGGAAAATATAAAAATAAAAACTAATTCAAAATATCTCAATAATACTTAACACTGCAGACAGTAAAAAAAAAAAATGTTAATACAATATAATAAAATGTAAACATAATACAATATTTATGTAAGCATAAATTAAGCAGCATTACATTTCTTTATGACAATTTCTTTGTATTACAGTTGACTTAAGTGTTTTGAAAATAAAATAATTTATATAAATTTAAAATGTATCTACATTTATATATAAATAAAATTATTTATATATTTTATATTATTTTAATGGCTATATATATATATATGAAAGAATGAATAACAGTGCTTTTAAAATCTGCCAATACAAAAATAATTTCTAATGTCAGCAAACCTTCATGATATAAGCTGTTATTAGAAATAGCTTGAAACTAAAGACTGTGATTCAGGTGTTTATGGGGTTGATGATGGCTGTCCTGTCCTGTCCTCGTGTCTTTCAGATTCACGCAAACTGTCGCATCAGGAGGGTGTATTTCTCTGACCGGCTGTACTCTGAGGACGAGCTCCCCGCTGAATTTAAACTCTATTTACCAGTACAAAACAAAGCAAAGGTGAGCTTCATCATGCCTGCTCATGTGCAGAATCATATTTTTACATCGGTGTGTATTAATCTCGTGTATTTTCTCCACAGCAGTGACACAGCAGATGGGATTCCGTCATTTCCTCTCTTTGTTTTATCTGCACACGTTCATATTGGATGGATTTCTAGTGGCACTGTCTTTTTGTTGTTTTTCGGATCTATGCGATTGGTTTCCATCTGCTGAATAAATATTTTATATGCACAAAGTGAACCCCGATCTTTTTCTGATTATTTTACATTTACATTTACAAAGCGACATACAAAAGGGGAACAAAGCAATTTTCTCTAGATATTGTCACATCATATTTCATACACAACTAGATATGCTGATGTTTGAAAAGATTTATTAAACTGGAACATGAGCTGCCAAAACCGTACAGGGAAAACGTAACGTGTCTTCAGTTACAAACTTTGGCTTTCACAGGAAAAATCTGCTGGTTATTAAATCTATCTGTCAAATGTTTTGTAGAAAGGTACTTCAAATGTAATTCAAAAACTCTTCAAATAAATCTATCACACCTGATTGCAGCAGTTACAATGGAATAAAGTAAATTTACATCTCGGTATTATCATAAGCATGGTAAATTATGAGATTAAAAAAAAACAAACACACACAAATAATGGGACCAAGCACCGCAGCAGTCGAAATGTTTTAACCAGATGCCAACAGAATAATTATTTCTGTATAATCTCTTCACAGTATATGAGAATATATATATATTTGACCAATCAGGATGCACCAAAGGTCTGGTACCAAGTTTTAAGTCAAATATTTGGCAAAATACAGCCTCACTTCTTATTTGGTGTCCATTATTTGCGGTTGGTTTGGTATATAAAAATCTCAGTAGTCTCAGGACTATTCCCCTGAAAAAACAAAGTGATGAAGTTCAGAATAAAGGTCTGTTCACACA